TTTATTCTGGCGTGACGTGAAAACTGTCGATATTGCGAATTCACAAAGCAGCGTTAAATTATAACCTGGTATATTTTTTGACTAGAATCATCAATTTATTTTTACACGTAATGTATCAAATAACCGAGTCGTGGTGGTACAGTCATATCCACCTACTTCATTTGATCCGTGGGTGGTGTAAGAGGCGAAACATAGAAACTGAAACAAATGATCGGCAGTAGTAGTAATAATAATAATAATAATGTCCTACAGACCGAATTTCGGCCACGGCGGCCTCCCTCAACGGAGGCTAGCCATCGGCGCAGGACAGGATTATAGTGCCCAAGTGGTGCACTAGTGAACTAATGCACAAGTGCACTCTCTATTCCCTCACTGTCGTAATCCGATAGGACGGTAAACCGACACGACCGGGAGAGAGATCAGGCGCAGGACCAACGACTTTACGTGCTTTCCGAGGCACGGGGGTGAGACACCGCCAACTTCCTGACTCCGGGCAGCTACTGAGAATTTCTTGACGGAAAAACTCTATAATTGATCTTTGGCCCGACCCGGGATTCGAACCCAGTTCAGTTTTTAAAAGTTTTGTAGTATAATATTGTCCCATGAAGGAATTATTTAATCTTTGACGTGTGTGTAATTCCTTTATTGAGTAATTAGTAATTCCTTTCACGGCTTCGATTCCCGCCGGCACAAATGAAATTGTTAATTGCAATTTTAAGTGCTGATTTACCACGTGCTCGGCGAGGAAGGAAAACATCGTGAAGAAACTTGCATGTCTGAGAAATAAGAAAGAAAAATATTTCCAAGTCATGTGAAGTCCGCCAACACGCATTGGGGCAGCGCGGCGGACATTTCCTTGCCCTAAAATGTTCTCAGAAATAGGTGGAGGCCTATGCCCAGCAGTGGGACTTATATAGGCTGTAACTTTTAACTTTAGTATAAAAACTTAATATTTGATCTAGAATATATTTTTGAATTGTGCTAAATGTTGGCAGTACAGAAATAGGTCTAAAATTAATAGGGTCCAACGGACAATCAGATTTGAATAAAGATGTCTGCACTATTATGTATTAAGTGATAAAGATATTACCTTACTATGTTTATTTAGTATCATCTTTGTTTTATTAATAATAATCACGAAACACGCCAGATTTGATACTATTATTAAAAATATTAGCAAGTTTGGATGCGATTGCACCTAGCATAGACGCAATAACCTGTTCCCCTTCAAATTCGCTGGATGGAATCAAATAGAAGGAACTGGCACTGGGGAGCCCCTGCCCAGAGACGGGAACAGTATTCCATGTGAGGCCGAACCTGCACCTCGTAAAGTTGCAGACGGTATGCCGACATGAAAAACTGTTCCGCTCTGCTGAGCACGTCAAGCTTTTTAGAGGCCAATTTGGCCTTCTCTTCCAATTGACCATGAAACTGCACGTCACTCGATATGTTGTCGCCGAGGATTTCGACACTGGATGAGGCAACATGTGCTCTGAAACTGAGGAGATACGACAAAGGGGTTCCTTTTAGCGGTAAAAACGCAACTTTATATCTTGTGGTGATTGAACTTGAGTGGATTTAGTTGGCCTCAATCCGAAACTTTGTTCAACAAAGTAGACTTCAGATTCAAGTTTGTTCCGGTACTCGGTGACGTTTTCCCAAAAAATATTGGCACGGTCAGTGTATAAAGAATTACCAGAGCTGTCGTTCGCATAGCAATGTATGTTATCGGTTTGCAACATATCATTGATACGCAGAAGAAACAGCGTTCGTGATAGCACGCAGCCTTGTGGAACACCAGTATTAATAGGCTTGTAATCAAAGCATGCACCGTCTACTATGACCTTGATACTCCGATCAGCCAGAAAAGAATATCAACAGCTGATCGACCCAGCACAATAAGAGGGAATCCTTCAGGTTAACTACTTGTTTTGCGTACCGAGCGCTATGTAAACAACACATTCTGCATGGATCACTTACACCACGGGATGGTCGAGGAATGACCACGCTCTCAGAGAATACCAGCGTAAAATAGAAGCTTAACTGTGTTTCGTATGGTGAGTGTAGAGAACCGAGGACCCTTTCAGTTCTCAGTCCAGTCTCAGGGATGACAACGCATCTTCATTATGATTCTTGATTAAGGATAAATGTAGAAGTCTATGGGCCACAACATCCACTTACCATCAGGTGAACTGTGTGCTCGTTTGCCACCCTTATTCTATAAAAAAACTTTTCGCTAGTATTCTGGTTGTGGTACAAAAAGTGTTATTATAATATCAAAGAATACATAAACGAAATTTATCGCTGATAATTAGGTGATCGCCACCATGCTGGTTCTATAAAGATCTTTTTAAAAAATATACAAACAAAATTATTGTAAAGTTAAATATGTTTAAAAATAAGTCCCACTGGGTTTCTTGTTGGTATTTCTAGGACAACAGCTTTTTCCAAATCAGTGATAAATAAAAAAATGACTTTCAATAAATATTATACAATAATCAGTAAAATTCATTTCATTTCATTATATATTTAACACATTCCATAGCTTTAAAGTGGTAAAAACCTACAGGGATTAGGCAAATTTGGCGTCGTGGGATTTAAACGGTAATAACGTAAAAATTAACATTATTGTAGCATTTTGGCAAAAACTACATAAACTAGAAACCCGTTTAAAAAGATAAATATAATCTGGAAAGCAATTAAGATTTCAATTTTGGAGCAACTGAAAAATAAAAAAGGTAAAGTGGCTTTACTGGTATGAGACTAGTAGGGTAACTACTAGTATTTTCTAATTATCAAATTAAAATCAAAAATAATAAAAATTAAAATAAGTACATAAAAGATTTCTATTTCTTTATCAACCCTGTTTGATATATATGTAATACTTAACTATAAATATATATATATTTTTATATATATATATATATATATATATATATATATATATATATATATATATATATACAACGACTACACAGCCCGAATAGACGCCTCATGAAAGGCGACCACTTTCTGTCAACACATCAGACAAATACGTCTTATGTAAGAAAACGACAGCGCGATCTACTTTAGTAGCGACCACTTCCCTGACCCGTGAACATCTTGCATGTGACTCGTGAATTTTCGACAAAATAAAATACAACAGACGCGAAACATGGTTCCCTGTACAATAAAATAGTGCGGAAATAGTAGCCAAATATGTAATTAATAAAATGGCATCACTTTTCATAGATAAGTGAATTTTAATTTCCAAATTCATTAATAAAAATTAAATCAGAGCTCAACCTATATTTGTCACAAGCAACTCGCGTTAATTTATTCGGACATCTTCGGATATTTTCGGACTATGCACCCCTTTCTTTTCTATGAAGTTCATTGTTGCTGTATTTTTCTTTAATTACCGGCACGTGTAACTAGTGCTGTACCAGTTAAACTATAATATTGGTACAAGTAAATATTATACATGTTATCGTGAATGTTTTACAGACTTAACTATAAGCGACATAGATGTAAGCTGAATTTTTTTAGTGAATGTACGTTAATCCATATTTGAATTTATTGATTTAATAATTAAATCAAATTATTCAAAACTTCTAAAAAAATTTCATACTAAAATTGATATAATTTTTAATAGACGGCACTCCGCTCTCTTTACTGCTAAGACGCCATGTCAAGACAAGTAGGAAACGGATGTGAACTATTATTCTATATATATTTAGATATAACGTGGTATTCTATTATTATTTCAATATTGTAAAGAAAGCTTGTTTTAATAAAAAATATTCTTTAAAACAAAAAATTATAGGTATTTTACTAAATACAATAGGTACCTACTTAAATAAAATTTCTTTTTTTTTTAATTTTGTACTAATTTATAGTAGAATATAATTCTGGTACTGATTAAGTAGACATGGTACCAAATTTATTAGTTAAAGTTGCCATCACTATTTGCTTATTAGCAAGTGTCGCAACCTTGATTTTAACCAATTAGCGTGCATTTCAAACCACCTCCCCCGTACCGCTTACCTCAGACTTTTGACAGACAGGTTTGGATGCAGAAATACATACATTAGGCGTCTATTCGGGCTGTGTAGTCGTTGTATATATATATATATATATATATATATATATATATATATATATATATGTTTGTGTGTGTGTGTGTGTGTGTGTGTGTGTGTGTGTGTGTGTGTTAAGACAACCTAGATCGCGCCAAGTTTTTTTTATAGAATAACAGTGACAAACTAGCACACAGTTTACCCGGTGGTAAGTGGATTCTGTAGCCCATGAACATCTAACCTCGATTAAGAATCAAGATGCAGATATGTTGTCACTCCTGTGGACTAAGGTGGAATGCCCCGTTCGCAGTAAAAAGGGTCTCCTGTCCACTCACCATATGAAACACAGCAGCATTATGCTGCTATTTTACGCCGAGAGCGTAAAGCGTTGAGAGCGTGGTCCTTCACCGATCAAGCGGACCCATTCGTGTTGCAACCACAATATATATTAGCATGGCTTTACCACGTTTATAAGTAACGCAATTTGTTAAGGATTAGTACATAATCATCTTGCTGGTACCGGTTCAGATTGATGTGTTGTGAGTCCATACCCCTCGCATTATTAATGTTACTCAATATTACTTCGTCAAGTACATAGGATTTGGATTCGTCATACCTAGAGGTCTTTTTCGTTAATTGTTTGTTTATGACCTTATCATCATCATTATAATTACAGCCCTTCCAACTGCTTTCAAAATCCACTCGGAAAAAAAACTTTATTGATCTACTTCTCCCTTTTTGTAGTGGTTTGGTAAAATTCGCCAATGACGCATTTTATTGAACTAATATTAATAAATATGTTATGACATAACTAATATTCATATCACATAATATGTTCATAGTAAGGGCTACATCATTCGACTCATTTACGAGTGAACTAAGGTGTTATGAGTGGCTTACGTATGCGAGATTTATATAAGGATTATTTGTAATAGAACTTGCCTGGTGTCCATTGCGTGAATCTTCTAAATTGATGACAGTTTTGGGATGAAAATATCGAAATCCTTCTTCTCGTTACGACGGAATTTATTCACTCATTGTGCTAATATACATAGCTTCTATTCGCAGTACCACTCAAAGACTGCCATCCAGCTTGTTTGCAAAATGATTAGCACGCTTTTCCACGCTCCCAAAGTTGACATTGCGCGCTTACTGATTTTTCAACGTTGCCATTTGATACAGAAACTGCTTCAATAAACTTAAATTCTTTGGTATCCGTTTTATCTGTATGTCAGCATCACGAAAATAACAATTAATGACATAGAAATTCAACTAGTGTTTGTATATATGTTTTAAATACTACACAAATTTAATTTATTTGACACAGATAATTTTGACCATTGAAAGGTAATAAATTTAATATTATTTAAAACATTTTTACAAAACAACACATTACACGTCGTCTTTTTACATCTATTTTAAGATTTATTTCTAAGTTTTGTTAATATAGATTGTTTCTTCATTGCAAATAGATTTAAAATGTAACTGACGCTTGTATAGCGACCGCGTGACTGTGTGGAAACGCGAGGGAAAGTTTCAGGACGCCGAAAACCGACGGACGCGGTGTATCGCGATGCTAACTCAGAGGCGAATGCGCTCTCGACAATTTTACACCCACCCTAGGCTAACACTGCTCATGAAAATGTTATTTGTGTCGGAGTCGTTGTATGCAAGCAATTATTAACTCGTATGTCAATGTAAACACGACGAAGGCAGTCCGCATTAGGAGAATTGGGTGTTACGGAATTCAAGATAATTTAATGGTCTATAACAGTAGGGTATATAGCATTGTCAGTAGGATATATATCGAGATAAAGATAAATCATATACTCCCAGTTCATTAAGACGGATTGGTTATTACTTTCTTTTACATTTTGTATAATATTAAATAGTGCGTGTTTATTAAAAATATTAGTTAATTTATGTTGAATATTTTTGATTTTTTCCTAAAAAAATGAATATACATTTTAAAATGATGCTTTAAAGAACTTTTATTGCACTAACTCCTTAAGTAGACAAAATTTGAATTGCGAAGTTATTTCTTTATTTGATTAACTACATATTATAATTGAGCCAAAATTCAATACTCTGCGAAATATAAATAGTTTTATAGATGTCTGAGAAAAACGTCTGTGAGAGACAGATAGATATGAAACGGTAAGTGTTCTGTTACATCTCTTACTTATTAATTTTGATTGATATGATGAACACGCACGCACGCACGCTAATGTACTATTTATACTTGTCCAACACTTTCCAAGAGTGGGCTTGTCCCACTCTTGGAAAGTGTGGGACAAGTGGGACAAAGTGTGTATAAATAATACATTATATTGTTTTATAGCTTTTTTTGAAATTTTTTTGAGGGAGGGGTGATGGACGCCCTTTTTGGCTCTAGTGGCTCCAGGTGACCGCAAACCATGCTACACCATTGAGTAAAGATAATGGTATCGATTCAACTGAAAACTTAAGGCAGGGAAGCATATATCTCCACATAATTGTAAAAAAATTTACTTTTTTAAAAAAGAATATTAAAAATGCTATAAACATTACTAATATTCCCCTTAACCACTCCTGGTAAGCTTAAATTGCTTGTGTTACGAGTGGTTCACGCCAGTAGTCGAATGGCGGATTCGCACCCACGACCTTTTTTAGTTCGCGGTTCGCGCCCTGCCATTAGGCTACTGTCGCTTAAGTAATATAAAATTTAATTAGTTTTTGTATAAATAAGTGGCTGATGATTAATGTGTGTGATGGTTAATATTTTTAAGATATATTATTTATTGTTATAATATCATCGTTTTAACACAATTTAAAGTCACCAATAATTATAACCATACAACTAACAAAAGCAAAGACAAAAACAATCGTTTATGTTTGAATCAATACAAGCAACTCATTTATACATATCGTATTACTTGTTCGAAAATTTATGGCCTGGAAACTCGAAACCTTGACAGATTCGAATTTCGCCCGAGACATCCCTGATGGATGATTTCACATAAAGTAGCCTTTACTGCCGATAGCTCAGGGGCTAAGTGCTCGTCGTAAATATCAAAAAATGAGAGCAATATTGGTTCGGTTCTTTCCGATTGAAATGATTAATTGCCATTTTAAGCGAAAGAAAACATCGTAAGGCATTGTGATAAAAACTTTATTCAAAGACCACTGAAACGTACTGCAGGAGCACGTCAACTCCATAATCCGCTGAAAAATGAGAAGAGGCGTAGATGTATACTATAAAGTTATTTATTTGGAAAAATAGACATAATAGTGAAAAAATATAATCGAAAAACATGTAATTTTTTTACATGTTTTTCGATTGTTGAACTTAAAGTGTTCGTACAAAAATGTCACATGATACAGATGCTTAGACCATGTTTTGTTAGATTGCGTACACATTACTTTAATTTAAAAAAAATTCTAACTTGATAAATGTTTATTTTTATTTTATTTTTTTAAATTAAAGTAATGTGTAAGCAATCTAACAAAACATGGTCTAAGCATCTGTATCATCTGACTTTTTTTGTACAGACACTTTAATTTCACTAATATTTGATAAAAAGCTTCTTATTTCGCTCGTTTGAAATCCACCCATATAAGTGAGTTGTAATAAACTAAAGGGTTTATTTTCTGTCTGCTCAACGTACGAATAAAAATAAACTTCGTCCTAACGAGTGTGACATATTCTATCTTATCGAAACAAATTTTAATTAAAACCGTTAAGTCATTTCCGTTCCAAATCCGTTTCGTCCGTTTCGTTAGTATGGTTTACCGACAGTTATCCCAATCATATTAGTAGCTAAACTGGACATAAATTTTACTGTTCGATTTTTTCATAATTGTATTTTCCATTGTTCGGAAACAAATAATACCTATAGGGAACGCCTGTTAAAATATTTTAGCCATCTTCACTTTTATGCTTTTAAGGTTTTATACAATACTAGCGATGTGCCCCGGCTTCTCACGGGTGATTTCTGGAGCTCGACAACAGCGCCACCTACCTGGTTCAATTGCGAATCACAAACACAAAATTACATCAAAATAGGTCGAGCCGTTTAGGAGTTAAGTCACATATACACGGACAGAAGAATTATACAGAATGATTGGAAGATGGATCCAAAGCTGTAAGGGGAGGCTAGTCTAGACCATTTAGAGCCATTTAGGCCATAGATATGTAAGGTGAAGTCCGACAATATTTTTTAACGATAAAAATGTTGATAAAACCCAAAATTTTACAGTTAATTGCTAATAATTGTCAGTTTTATTGATAAATGTTTTTTATTAATTTTTTTTATCAACATAATGTGGAAGGAATCTAACAAAACATTCGCAACATCAACATCATCATTCAAATCAGTTCATCAGTTCAATCAGTCAATCAGTTCAAATCAGATCAAATCATCAACATTTGGTGATATATTAAAAATGGGCAAGAGTACCCTTAACCGACGAGCATGTATGCGTAGGTATATGGATGTGGAAGAGGCGAGAGTGGTATGTCAGGATCGTGCTAAATGGAAGTCTGTAGTCTCTGCCTACGCCTCTAGGTGACAGGCGTGAGTGTTTATTGTGTGAATCTAACAAAACATGATCATCGGACTTTTTGTACAGCCACTTTAAGTTCATCATAAATTTTAAAGATTTAAGTAAATCAGTCTTTTTTCACTTATCCTCAAAAATTGGTTTCTTTAAATCTTTGAAAATATTTGTGAACTTAAAGTGTCTGTACAAAAATTGTCAAATGATACAGATGCTTAGACCATGTTTTTTAGATTGCTTAGGTGTACCTACAGATTACTTTATTTAAATTTTTTATTAAAAAAGATTTATCTATAAAACGCAATTATTGGCAATTAACTATTTATATATATATATATATATATATATATATATATATATATATATATATATACTAGCTTGCCAGGCAGACGTTGTTCTGCCGTTTTCGACGACCCTTTGTCATGTCCCATTAAAAATCCTGAAACTGGCAAAAAAATATGGGCCATTTATGGACAAAAAAAACTATCCTATCTCTCAAGTTGGACCAAACTGCACACGGTGTGCAAATTTGATTAAAATCGGTTAAGTAGTTTAGGAGTACATCGCGGAAAAACAACGTGACACGTAATTTATATATATTAAGATATATAATAAATTTATATACTCATAGATATATGTTTTTTCCATTTGTACCTACTTAAATCATTTTATTTAAAGTATTTGTGGAAGTTAAGATTCGCTCTATAAGTTATAAGGAGGAGTAACGTACAATATATCACTTGTTTTCAAATATGTCTTTGCATGTATCACAGCCCAATGAGTAAGGATGGCAAAACAGCACACCAACCGCGTGGCAGTAAGGTGGCTAGGTGGTATAGGTCATAAATATCTAAATATATCCCCGATCAAGAATCAAATTGCGTCACCCTGGGAACTAAGCTGAAGTGCTTGCGTGAATATTTTACACTATTAAAACCAACTGTTAGAGGCAATAACGTTCCATTATAAAACTTTATCATTAATACCCTTAAACATAAATTTAGTATAAATTCTTTAAAATGTGAAAGACGTTCACACTTAGACGTTACACCTAGTAGACACTTAGTTTTTCCACCGCCAACTTGTTATAGACATATTTTAAATAAGGGGGGTTTCCGAATCAATATTTTTATTTTGTACGAAAATATTTAAGATTTTAACTGCTTTTTACTTTTAGTACAGAATAAGGTAGCCTTTTGGGTAAATTTACGAGTTTTCTATGATTCTCTACATGAAAGCTGCACATAGCCAATATGCATTTTATGCACATCATCTCGAATTCTAAACAATCTTTGGTAATCTACTTTGGACGGCGTACAAGGCAATGGATAACTCCAACTTTGTGTAATGAGGTAGTGGATATATATGACGAAAGCGTAACTGAGTCGCAGCTCAAATCCATCTTGAGGAAACA